TGCATGGCGTGCCAAAGTTTTGTCTTCAGGATTCCTTTGTCTGTAAGAGTCTTGTCCATCCTTGCATATTTTTGAAATTATGGCAGTACAGCATTTAAGTTTCCAAGACTGCTTCATTTGAGGGATTTTGTTCATGTGCTGTTATTGTGGCAACAGTTCTGCTGTTGCATTTCTCATTTTCCACATCCTGTTGTGGATCAAGGTTCAGGTACTGCAGCAGAGATGCAAGCCTGCCAACATAGTTGGAGGCCTTACAGTCATACCAATCTAAGTACTTGTGTTTTATAGAAATGTGCATTTTGAAGTGCGGTTAATGTCTGTTGCTTTCTGAGATTAGTGCTTGTAGTGGACAGAGGGGCATGTAGTGATGCAGTGCATAACATTCCATTAAGGAGGGCAGGACTTTGAAAATGAGGTACCTTTTGTGCTCTGGCTGCTTGCTGTGTTTGCTTTCAACTTCAAGACTGGCAACAGGCAGTCTTTTTAGTCATTCCATTGAAGGGAGCAAAAATATATTGTTATCAGCTGTTGTGAGGAGGTATGTAGGTACTTAGTACAAATATTGAATATGCAGGTTTGTTTTCTATTTCAGATTTGAGGTCCAGGACCCATTTTAACTTTATAGTAATGGTAACTGGTAGGAAGGTTTTGTTGGAAACACTGTTGCAGAGTGGAAAATGCTAATGTCAATTTTTGACCAAGTCATGCAGGGCTACCAACTGTTGTGCAAATGATGTGAACATAATCAAGAAGATGGTTTGTTAAACCCCTGTGTTTTACTCAGCAGCCCATGGTAAGAGTTGAGTGTAGTTATTGATAGGAGATAAAGGTGTCAACACTGAGGTTTGTGTGAATTGTGTCTTCATGTTCAGATATTTGCCACATTTCCCAGTCTATAAGATGCTGTAATTTTCCATGAAAATGGGCTTAAATATCCCACTATTTTGTATATGAGGATATATTGATTAAAATGAGGTAAATGTTAGTATAATGTTGACCAGCCTCCCTTTTTCTTGGAAGTGACTCCTAGGTTACAGAATGCATCCTTTCCTTTTAATGTATTTCTTTTTGTTTTGTTAATTATATAAGGCAGAATTGTTTACTTTAATTGAAAAGTAAATTATTTTGTTATGATATGTATTCATAAGTAATAACTTTAATTTACTAAACACAAAATAAATATTTCTGAATTTCTCCTTCCTAAACCACTGTGCATCTTATCCACTGGGAAATAAGTGTTTTCCCCATTAAAGTATGGGATCATTGGTACTTTGTGTACTTGTCCAGTAAGCTAGAAATGTAACACTTTTTAATATAAGACATATGCAGTGGGCACAAGAGTGAACTTAATCTTTGGAGGTTAGTACATCAAAGTGCGTGCCTATAGAATTAAAAAAGAAAACTAGACTCTTATACAAACTTTGTATGAGCCATGTCTTTGATGTAGTAAGGAGTCAACTGTATATGGTTTGATGCATGAAGCACTTTACCTCAGAAATTCATCTTTGTGTTCATGATTAGCTTTCAGTCTTGTCTTTGTAGCAGAAATGTTTTCTTTAGTTGATGGCATTAGAAAACTCAGATTGAGCACATCTTTGATTTAAGAACTTCGGACAGATGAAGTAGATGGTGTTTTAAGGACTCGATGAAGGAAATCTGCTGGTTTTGTTTTCTGTTGTGAAGGAAATTGAAATTTTGACTTTTTTTAAAGATCTTTTTCCTTTATTTATTTTATGTTTGAATGTCTTTCATTTAGGTCCATTCAAGGAGCTTATTGACATGGCTGTGGCGGTAGAACAACAGGCCATCATACTTTTTCATAAAAGTGACAAATATAGCTGAAAATTATTTCTGACAGGCTACAGCAGTTTTTCCACAAACAAATCTTATAATCTGTGCTATAAATATGTCTTGCGAGTTTTATATAACTTGGGCACATTGCTTTAGATGAGAGGAATTGGTCACTCCCTGTAATGGCTGTTCTTACAGAAACTAGCTTAAATTTGAAAAGTGTTACACCTCATAACTGGCTCAAGTACAATTAATTGATTGACTATTATAATGTGTATTGGAATGCACAGGGTCCCAAGTGATGATGATCTTTTGGGTTGTGATACAATGTAGATTTCAGCCTTCGTTTAAGCCCTTAAGTACGTTTGCCCTAAACGGCATCTATGTACAAATCCACACGGCATCACAACCCAGCAGAACAGTGACATCCTCGCTGTGGTGACAACCTTGAATCTCAATAGGGTCTGTGTTGCCAACATTGTGATGCCTTGTATTTGACTTGCAATCATCCAATTAATTGAATCAAATTTGTAGAGTACATTTTTACATTTTAACCAAAAGGAAGGTGCAGTTTTTGTGTAATCTGAAGTGAATGTTCCTTTCCTGACTCTGCAATATGTTTGTATGTTCTGCTGCTTTTCAGTAGAGTTCAACCTGGCTTTTTATGCAGAATTATTTTATTTTGAAAACATGGCTGAAATATTTCCATCCTCATTGCTATAAACAGAAAATTAGTAAGAAAGGAGCATGTACCAAAGTGCGTCATGGCAGATGAAAGAACATACAAACATAAAATGCACCAATGGATGAATGTGACTTTTAATGCTGAAATTTGCGAGCCCAAACTTATCAAACTTGTATGACTATAGTGTGTATGATATAACAGGTCCCCATACTAGCTTATCACCCCACCACCACGCATATCTGACATTCCAGGGCCTTGATGGAAGTGTAACGTCGATACGAGTGTTTTTTACACAATGTAAAATCTGCTGCTTGGGTTGTAGCTTATTCATCATGCCTTTTATTTTTGTTATTTGCATAACTGTGGTAAAGAGGGGGAATATTTATTTTACTGTTGCATATTACTGAATACCTCAGATTTGATAGATCTGTTTTTCCACTGACAGTCTGTTTTGTAATAGGGCTCACTCTTGGCTGTTCAATAATACCTCTGTACATTGCTATGTAAAAAAGTAAATACTTTTTTGACATCTAAAAAAGCTTCCTCTTTGCTTCTATCCCTTCTCCCCCACCACTTACATCATGTGATAAATACTTCCCAAGAGAGCCTGAGAGGCTCTGATGTTGCATCTTTCCTTTATGATACAGTTGGGTAGCAATCAGTGTAGAGGCATAATTCACATTGAAACCTGGATTCGGTCATAATTAACAGAGGTTAAAAATGTACTGTGATATCTCTCTCTGCAGGATGATGTCACCTGTGAGCTGTATTCATATTTTATTTTTGTAGGATACACACTGAATTATGAAAATCTTACCTTTAACAGTACTTGCTTCCTCTGTCAACACAAGTACCTGCATGGTCCCCAAACGTTCTGCCATGTATTATTCATAAACTTTTAAATTGCAACTAATAGTTTGGACTGCATATGTAATTGTTAGGGTATTTGGATGGTCTCAGAGAAAGGTAATTTAGTTCTGAATGAAATGCTTATGTATTATTTTAAAATAACAAGATTCAAGGAAAAGTTTCAATTAGTAAGGCTATATTTTCACTTATAAAACAGGTGTAAACATGCACATTTTACATATCCATAACATTTTTACATTACTACTATCAATATAGTCTCTTTCCAGTGTGGTTCACCAATTAACTGCTCCCATCCAAAATGTTTTCTGAAACTCTTGGAAATTGGCCAACTTGTAAGTGGCTTCTTAATCAAAATATACTACACATTCCATCATATTATTCTTCTGTCTTGAATTTTCCACTATAATAGGGTACATACTGGAGAACTACCTTCCAGTCTGTAATATATAGCAATCCTAGAGAACTAGCAGCCCCAAATGTTGCCAAAGAAGGTAACCTGTAATGAGAGATTGTATCGAATAACGCTTCTCTCTTTTTCTACAATACATTAATTTTACTTGGTTTCTTGGATGCTTACCAATAAGTTGCTAATTCGAAATGCTTTTTGCCAATTTGCCGGAGTATGGACATGGCTATTATTTATAAAAGCTGTTTGGATTCAACAACTTTATGCTTGCAACCTTACTACCACAGATTAAGAATCCTTCAATACAGAATCGACAAATTGGCAAGGAGAACATGCTCATACAAGTACACTCTTGATCGAGTATAATTTACCACCGACTAACCTAACTAATTTTATAAATAAGGTTTTCCTTCTAATAGTGAAATGTGTGAAAGTGTAACAGTTACTGATATTTACGTAATTAATGTTTTAATGAGATGATATTAGAATTGTGGCACCATCCTTCGAAAACGACTTCTGATATTCACTGAGAGGAAAACAGAAATATCCAACGTACGTCAGAGATGTGTGTTTCATATCCAGATGCCTTTCACCTTTGGTTACTGGAGTTTTGTGTTGGTATTAACTGTGCTGCAGTTTGTGGGTAGGAGTGTATGAAGTCCGTTTGTGGGTGAATTCGTCTTACTCAGGTAATGAAATGTCTATCTGTTTATTTATGTATCTGTTAATTATTCTGTGTTGTCCGTTTGTGGGTGAATTCGTCTTAATCAGGTAATGAAATGTCTATCTGTTTATTTATGTATCTGTTAATTATTCTGTGTTGTAGACGAGCGTTAGTATGAAAAAACTAAGACACTGCACAAATAATTCGTGTTATAAATAACCGAAGAAGAAGTCGTAGTACCCGTATTTCAGTAGGCACCAATTGCTTATGTCTGTTTCACTTTCGTAGTGTTTCGACAGTATTCAGTAACTGATGCCTGTTTGTAAAATTGAAGTATTTTTAATAAATATGTAAGCGTGATGCGTATTGTCCCAAACAAATTCAAATAGGTCATATTTAGTTGAATAGGGGTTGGGTCTAATGAGGGCCTAAGTTCTAGTGTGGCAAATATGAGATCACGAAAGATGTAATGCTCTTATGTGGGATAATGTTGTGTGAAGTTAAAAAATATTAATTTTTCCTTCACTCGATTTAGTGAACGCAAAAGTAAAATTGGCGCATTCACTATGTCAGGTGTCTAATATTACGAATATATCTAACCCAGCGGTATTCAACTACAAAATTTCCGTTTTCGAATTCAAGAACAGGACTGCTGTATTAATGAGGTGAACTTTCCTGCAAGTTGTCAGTAGTAACTAAAAGTATGCAAAAGTTGGAATTAGGGCCAGATTAAGATTTTGCGATGCCATGAATTGTGGTAAAGACGAATCGCCTATACTAACTGAAATAACAAAATATTGTTAATAAATGTTAAAGATATTTATTTTAATAGTTGCTTTGACTGACGTTTTCGTGACTTGATCACGTGACAAACAAACAAGCCGCTGGGAGAAGTTTGACCGACCTGGGTACCCAGCAAAGTGGGCTTCATCCTCCCACTGGTTCTGAAGACGGCAGTAGAACCAACTTGCGAAACATCGTTCTTTTAAATGTGTATGCAAACAGTTAACGATTTATAAAGCTCAACGGAATAAATTACACGCATTTATAGGCCTCTAGAACTTTCTAATCCAGGAGTTGTCAGCCCTTGTCCCCCGGAAGTGTGTTGCGCCGCCCGTCGAGTGTGCATTTGTTTTTTGTAAAATCGTCGAACTCTGTGTAAAAGAAATAATTACAACCTAAGTTTCGTGTTTATTTTTAAGTAAATATTCAATAAAAAAAATCAGCAGGCGTTAACTTTATCGACTTGCAGGTTGGTATTGAATATCGCTAAATTAGTCCCTCGTAAACCACAATATGGCGAAATGAGAAGAATTTTGAGCATCTGCGCACGCAAACAACAAAACAACGTTTAAAACTGTTCTAATCGTGACCCACGTGGAAAAGTTGTCTGGGCGACCGAACCGGTTTGTTGTATAAATCGAATTGTTTTGCACAAAACACAGACAAGTCAATTCTTTCGCTGCAAGGAAACGTGAAACCAGTCGTTCTGTTGTTTTCGACTCGCTTCGGAAGGTACTGTTTCATGTCGTACTTTCCTTTATTAGAAAATATGCATGTCCGCCTTGTACCAGTCCAGAACCCCTGTAACTGTTGGAATTAAAATTTGAACTGGCCAGCCAATCACGTGTGAAAGTTCCCACGTGGACAAGGGAACTAGAGTCACTCCTCGTCCTCGTAATTCCCTGTCTTCAGTAGGACCTTTGTTATGCGAATATCTGAGATGGGAACGACAGGGGTGTCAATGCGGAGTCATTGCCAGATTTGTTTGGCGTTTGATAAGATGGATAGAAAAGTAAAATGCCAGATTTGTTTGGCGTTTGATAAGATAGATGGAAAAGTAAAACCCAACTGTTTGTTATTTGCGGAAATACACGTTACCATGGGAACAGACTGTCAAGGGTCTTTAAATTAGGCCAGAATGGAGAGGGGAAATTGGAATGCTGCAGCTGTGATACAAAATATAATCTGCAAAATCATTACAGTGTTAGCAGACTTATAAATATAAATAGCACTTCACACGTACACAACGCGCGTTGCTCTACCCTCGCGGGGAAAGTTGAGCGAAGTCATTTTGTGGTTGGCAGCACTGGAGACGCCTTTCAACTCGTGGACTCGGAGAAAGCATTTGTACCAACGTCACCGCCGTGGATTTTTCTTTTTTACTTCAAATTTTGACAGTGGGAGGCGGAGGCTGATTCCTCTGAGCCCTGGGATTCCTTACAAACTGATGACACATCGGGATAAGTCGCCGAGGAGCTGAAAACAACGGATCTGCCACTTTTTGAAAGTCACGGGAGCCGAGCACGATTTTAGGCGTGTCGTCGTTGGCAAAGCACGAGTGTATTGCGTTTTCTCACCCCTAGAGTTAGTACTGAATGAAAGGAAAATCTGTTCTGTGTCACACCCTCCTTGGGCGAAGTCGACGTGCTCTAAACACCTTCCCAGCAGTACCCATGTAGTTGTCTGGCTGCAGTGTTGCCAATCCGCTGATTGGAGAACCTGCCACGGCGTTTTTAATGTAGGATTCCTACAGTTCACGTATCAAAATAAAGACAGTGGTTGGGTTTAAACAGCTTTTGAAGTGTACTTCCGCACGTTGAAGGTTCCGGACGTGTCTACATCAATCAGCTGTTCCGCTACACTCTGGTTCGCATCAGAACTAATGGAGTGCGAACTCGGCCGAAACATGGCAGGGGACAGACAGACAGATCTGTGTGGATATTTGATTCACACTTTAGTCTGTCGGGAACTGATCGATGTCTGAATCCTTTGTCTTTGTCTTGATGCATCGACCTCTGAAACAAATTTCTGTTTCGTGGGAAATCTTCGTTGACGTTCTGGTCCCCAGAATTCGAGTCATGAGAGCTTGTGTGTCCGTTCTTTTTATGTCAGGTTCAGAGGCTGTGTCTGCGTTGTGTTCGGCACGTGAGAGCGTCTGATTCGTTTCGGAATGTGACGGATTGTCGGTTTCATCTTCTGAGCTCAATGAGCTCTCGGTAGAGGAAGGTGCTCCAGCGAACTCGTCCGAGGCTGGCAAAACCCTGAGCTCTGTTGCATTTCCAGGTGGCGTTTGCTCCTCGTCGCTGTGGGCTGATGTTGGTTCGTTTAAGCTCTGGTTTGACTCTTCCGTACTTGGCCCTGAGAACTGGTTTGACTCTACAGGACTATCTGTGATTGGTGTGACTGTACCTGGTGATGTCGTCGTGAGAACCTGGATCGAATCCCATGCAGGCTCGTTCTTTCCATCCTCGATCTCGACTTCTTTGTCATTGTAAAGATTCAGCGGATTCGCCTTTTTCACCGAGTGCTTACTACTATGATGACGTTCGCTGAGGTCTTCCTTCCCGTGGTTGCTGGTCAGACCTTCGGAGGGAGACACGGTTGCGTCGTTCGACGTGCTTGTGTTGGTAGCCGTGGCGATGTCATCGGTGTCCTTCGAACCGTCGTCGTACTCTCTGAAGCTGTCCATGTTCCAGATGGATATACTGTCTGGGAGGTTCTCGGTCTCCTCAGGAACCTTTAAGTGTTCGTCACTGTAGTGTGGTCTGTGGTTCGCGTATGTCTTGGCCCACCAGTCTTCGTATCCTCCCCAGTTTAGCCTTGCCGGGTCTTCCTCAGGTGATGAGAGTGGGGGCTCAGTGTACGAGTCCTGCTGCGTTGTCGTGGTTTCGTTTCTCGTTGCGTCGTCACTTTCGACGCTCACGGGCGTCGTTACGACTTCGGAAGGGTCTTCGTGGTTCCATGTGTCACGCAGACCGCTTGGAGGCAACAGCCCTGAAGAAATCACTTCGTTGGAAGGGTTGTCATTCCTCGTCCTATCACTGCTATTAATATTTTCGCCGCTGAAATAACCATCTGCAGATGGCCTGGTCACTCCTGACGCATCATTCTGCAGTATTTTAACCGTTTCATCTTCGACGCTGGAATGTGCCGCGACGTGTTTCCTTATGCTGTCCGAATCTTTGTAGTGGCCGTTGATGGCGGTGGAACTGGATGGATGTCCTTGTTTCGAAGAGTCGTTCTGGTCGTTGTGGGACGTAGATTCGCCGTCAGCTGTGGCGTTGTCGTCCGAGAAGCCATCTGGAACACTGTGGGAATTGAACGAGAATTCGTCCTGGGTGCTAGAAGGCTCAGTCTTCTCTTTGCTTGAAGCGTGGTCCTTAGAATCGCCATGGAAAGTCAGCGAGTTGTTTTGAAGAACATCCTGTTTTCCCGGACTGTTTGTCATTTGTTTGACGGTTTCTCCTGGAATCAGGTTGACTGCTGACACCGTGGCCAGGTTTTGAGACTCCGCCGTCTCAAAAATATCTTGCTGCTGCTGTGGCGTCACTCGGACACGAACCCAGTTACCCCTTCGGCGACTGTGACCTGGCTGCAACGAGAGAAAATGCAGACGATGCGTTTGTCCATTGTTTGCTGACTCTTAACCTAACCTAACCTAACAATTCACGTGTAATTGGCTTAGGAGACACGTGGCGGAGTGCATCGGCACAGGACAATGGAGACGCAAGGAACGGACGAGGCGTGTAAAAGTGCGTCGACAGACACACAACGAGCCATTTATACGAAAGCCTAAAGGCGGCATGCATTACCGTGCTGGGATCTGCTGAAGTTCTGACGTCGGGAGACGCCGTCAACATGAGCAGGGCTGCCTCTGCGTCGTCTGTCGTCGTCACTGGCGTGTCCGCTGTCACCGCCTCTATCTGCGTGGTGCTGGATTTTTCCGCGTTCTGGATGGCATTGGCGGCCTTGAGTGCCGCCGTTCTGGTCGACCACTGACTTTCCTCCCCGCGCTCCAGGTCGTCGGCTTCGTACTGGGGTTGATTATCAGACGACAGGGACATTTGGTCTGGCACCCGAAGGTGTCCGAGTGCCTCAGTCTGCGGCGGCGTTGGTTGACGGATGTCTGGCAGATACTGATCCTCTGATTGACGGTGCCGCTGTATGGATTGATACTGATATTGTTGAGGAAGGTCGTATTCCGGTTGTAGAACCGCGTGGAATTGACCTGCACCGGGGATTGACTCTGTTGTGAACACGTCAGGGACCTCGTTCTGCCCGTACCCCGATGTGACCGTCAGGGTCGAGACGTCCGTCGTGGTCGGGGGACGGGTCGGGCGTCGGATTCTGCCTCTCTTCGTCAGCTTCGTCTGAGCTTGCTGCGGTCTTCTGGAAGGACGCACCGTGTAAACCTGGAAGCAGAAAGTGATCACTTGATTGTTTGTGAATGATCGATCAACTACTGAACTTGCATTCTCAGTTGATGCCTCAGACCTAGAAGTGCGCACAGGGTGCTTTATATACTTTTATGATTGCATGCATTGCGAGTCGCATTGTGTTTGATTCAGCCGGACTAGAACTCGATAGAGACAATCAGTGAAAATAGGGGCGTCGATGATGGACGACGTACCTTGTCGTTGAGTGTCGTCGTCGTCGTCGTTTCGGCCGTCGGCGTCGTGGCTGGTGCGAGCGTCTTTCTCGCCGAACCTCTGTTCAGGAAGTTGGTGTTCTTCCTCCCCGCATTCGTCGTGGGTTGCAGTTCAGGTGTCGCCGTCGTGGCAGATTGCTCCACGGGTTGAGGGATTACCCTCGGTCGCCCACGTATTCTTCCCCGGATCCGCACAAGCGGCGGTCTCTGTGTCGCCTCTCCGTCGAACTGCTGTACGCTTCTGTCGGAAGTTACGATTTCAGAGTCGCCTCGCCCTCTGAATTTGCCATCGGGCGTTGGAGGGGGAATCGTGGTTTGATGGGCGGGACCAACGTCCGGCGCTCGATGTTTGCTCTCCCCTGGCGCGTAGTATTGGCGCTGGGTTGTTTCTTCTGTGGGTTCTGGAAGTTCGTGTAGCAAAAATCCGTCTTGTTCTTGTGAAGTAGCTTCGGTGCTTGACAGCTCAGAAGTTGGGAAGAACGGCTCATTGTCCTTGGAAGGAACAGACTGGCCGACGTAATAATCACCAGGTGTCTGTGGCAGGGCCACTTGCCCCTCGCCGTGGGTCTGGCCGTTGGTCACGTGCCCGCCCACGAAATGGTTGCTTCTCGCTTCTCCAGTAGGAAGCTGATTGCTGCTAACTCCTGGAGTAGTAGGAATCCGACCGTGGTCGACGTGCCCACTTGAAATGTAATGTTGACTGTGACCTGAAGCGCCGTCGAGTGTCCCAGACCGAATCTGCGAGTGACTTCTTTGCCCGATTGTAATTTGAGACTGCCCCAGTTCGTCATTTCCGGTTTGAACAATGGCTGCTTGTCCAGCGGGAACATACGCTTGAGCCTCATTTCTGTCAGGGAACTGCCCAAGAGCGTCTTGTCCCGAAGGGATCTGATTAAGGGACACTTGCCTGTTTGTATTGTGTGCATAAATTAATGGCGTGCCCGAATTTGATCCACCGGGTGTCTGACTGCGAGGTGTTTGTCCAGCCGAAAATTGATCCAGGGTCACTTGCACGCTGTGGCCTTGCAGCGGTTCAATGCTGGGACGCCTCGTAAAGTCCGTTTGGCCGCTCGAGGTGAGCTGCTGGTGCGGCGGTGCAAACTGAAATATGTTTTCTGTCGCGGTGTCTGTCCTCGAGCGCTGCGTCGATGTTGCAAGGGCGAACTGTTCTTCCTCGTAGAAGTCGCTGCTGTACTCCGGCGACGCGGTCGTCGTCGTCGTCGTCGTACTCCTGCCCCTGCTACGAGTTCGCGCCCTGTCCTTGTGCTGGGTCTCAAAGCGATGTGACTGCGTCTTCGCTGAAGGCTGCCGGCTGCTCTCGAACGAACTGAGTTTGTCTGCTGCTGCTGCTGTAGGTGGCGCCTGGACAGGTTCCGGAGAGGTCCGTGCGGCCGGACGCCTGCCTCTCGCGTGCGATGTCCTAGTGCGCGGAGCCTGAGTGGTCGTCGAAAAGGTGGAAGGACGGTACCTCCCTCGAGTCCTTCCTCGTGAGAGCGTTGTGCTCTCGGGGGCGGCTGTGGTTGTCAGAAGAGGCTGCGTCAAAACCTGCGAATCCGGAAACGGATATCGGGACTGGAATCTGTCCGACGGAACTGTGTACCGCGTAACACCTGACGAGATTTCTTCCTGTTCATCAGCGAGATTCGGTTGCGTTGTTACAAATGGCGTTCGCGTGTTTTGATGCTGCGGTTGAAGAACTGGGAATTCGTGGAGGTTTTTGTCTTTTGACTGCTTTTGTGGACTTTGTGTGGCTGATACCGGGTGTTGTGGAATTTCGTCGCGTGAGGTCGTGTAAATTTGTTCGTTCTCCCCTTCTGGACGTAATAAGATGCCTTTGTGAGGCCTCTGATGTTTCGATAATAGTTCTGCCGTTTCATCTCCTGAAACCGGATATTGTGGCTCAAGTTGTGGAATATCTTCTTGAAGAATGGTATATTCTGGGTATTGCCGCTGGCGATGTGGAATGTCCTCCTGAGAAGTAAGTCTCGATCGGTTTCCTGGGGCGATTCGTTCAGGCTCCGCGTATTTCGACTGGCGTAGCGCATCGTCGCCTGAAGTGTCGTATTCCAGGGCTGGAAACTGTCCCTGTGGCTCTGAAATGTATTCCGGCGCTACTGAGTACGTGTCCGAAAACTGTGGCTGCCGGCTTCGTGTTCCCTCCAGCGCGGTCGTGTACTTCGGCTGATCGTCTGCTTGTGGCACTGGATATTGCGTCTGGCTTATTGGGATGTTTTCGTGAGGTCTGATAGATTTGGGTGGTTCTGTTGGTTCCAAACGCGGGTACTGATCTTCTCCCGGAGGCACGTTGTACGCTGCTTGTTGCACCGGAACTACATTTTGATGTAGCCGTGGTTTTGTGCTTCCTTCCTCAGAGTTAAGATATTTCGGCGTCAGTTCAGAGCTTTCTTGATGGCTCGGGGGTTTTGTTTGCGTCGTCCTGGTGTGTTCGTGTGAGTCGGCGTCTTTTCCTTGTGTGGCTGCCTGATGATACTGGGGATACCGCGTTGGGTTTCGAACCAATGTCTGTGGCCGGCTTGTCGGAGTGTCTTCTGGCGCGATGTCGTAATGCGATTGCTCTGGCCGGTCTTCGTGCCGTGGATATGGAGGCTGATATGTTGATATTTCTGCCCGCTGTGCCGCGTGCGTCGGGGTCACTGGGTTCCGCTGCACGGTGTCTAAATCGTGTGACTCGAGCGTGGTCACAGCTGTTTCCTGATTCTGTGCTGGTGGGTGCTGGAACCGATGCCTGGCTGGTTTGTTTGTGACCTCTGCGTCCTGATGCGGGCGACGAGGCTGCTTCTCTCGAGTGTATCGCTCCGTTGAAGTATCCGGTCCCACTTGCTGCACCGCCTGTAAGATATTTGTGGCCCCTTGTCTCTGCGGCGTCAGGAGGACATTGCGTTGGTCCTGAAGCGAATTTACCAAGGAAGGCAACTCTGGAGTTATTGGCGGTAGCTCTGCGGGTAAACTGTACGCTTTCCTGGCATCGTCCTTCTCGTGCAAGTAATTCTCTGTCACATTGGCGATGACGACGGAACCGACGTGTGGGGCGGGAAACGGGATTTTAGAGTAACCAGGTGGAGGCTTGAAGCTGAGAGGTGCTACGAAGAATGGAGGCTTGCCCACTTTCCTCTCGATGCGGTTCGACCCGAGTGCCGAAAGGTAGGGGAGCTCGAACTTTGCGTAGCCGGTAGGAGTCTGCAAGTCAGACGGCCCGACAAACACGCTCGGCGAGTCGGGACCCACAGCTTCTAGTACTGAGATGGTCGAAGCCTCCTTCAGCACTTTGACTACGTCCGAAATCTTGACGTCATGCCCCTCCTTTGGACCCATGTATACTGACAAGGGCGGTTGATATGGCTCAAGTGTTGTGCTAGGATGTTCGGTTGTCGGTTTTGGCTCCTGTGTCAGTCTCTGTTGCTGCCGCAAGAGGGCTGCCTGCAACATTAAAATAAAAGCTATTCTCTCGTTCTGGGTGTGGAGCTCTAATATATCCACTGGAACGAAAATAGGACTGCGGAATCCCACGTGGATTGACCAGGGAGAACATTAAAGTGGGGAAAAAAGCGAATTACAGAAGTCCTCCCTCCCCAAGTGCCAACATGGCGTGTAGTGGGACAGATATACTTTGCTTTAACTGCCTTGAACCTAAATTGTTGAATTTGTGAGATATTATTACAGATTTTAATCTGGACTCCTGAGTTACCACGAATCGTCATTTAGAAACTGTGCAATCCCCATCCGACTTCCAGCTGGTCCTGATAATGTTCTGGACACGCCTTAGTGTGCCTCTTCTGCGCCCAAAAATACGAGTACCAGAGGAGTTTCTTTCCCATTTATTTTAAAATCCTGTATTGCCCTTTCTGAATTACGCGGTACATGTCAGGGCGTATAATTTTTGAAGAAACAGTCCATGTACAGAATAACACACCGTGGCTAAAAGTGCTACTTATATAAATCACTTCGTGCTTCTCCTTCACGAATGACACGCGAAGTTTATTCTGAAACGTCAAGTATCATCAGTTTACAGAGGAAGTGATCGTATCGGATGTGTAAAGAACATTACTGGTTTTTTTGGAACGCGGGAATTATACCCTTAAGACAAAATAATGAATTATGAGATTTTTACTTGGTGCTGTTGACGTAGAGTTTCCAGGGGCACATACAGAAGCTGTACCTCCTCTTGGGGAGCCGGCAGAGATGTGGCTGAGGGGGTTGGCTTCCTGGTGTGATGTCGATCGTGGCTGAATTTCGGAGACGCTAGCTGTTGATCTGCTGACGGAAGTTGGTGACTCAGTTGAGGCACTGATTGTTGAGCTGCTGACGGAAGTTGGTGACTCAGTTGAGGCACTGATTGTTGAGCTCCTGACGGAAGTTGGTGACTCAGTTGAGGCACTGATTGTTGAGCTCCTGACGGAAGTTGGTGACTCAGTTGAGGCACTGATTGTTGAGCTGCTGACGGAAGTTGGTGACTCAGTTGAGGCACTGATTGTTGAGCTCCTGACGGAAGTTGGTGACTCAGTTGAGGCACTGATTGTTGAGCTGCTGACGGAAGTTGGTGACTCAGTTGAGGCACTGATTGTTGAGCTCCTGACGGAAGTTGGTGACTCAGTTGAGGCGGCATTAGCTGTTGATTTAATGTCCCAGTCTCTGGAAGGTACTGTTGATGAGGCACAGATTGTTGGGTGTAGAATTGTTGGGGTTTCTGTATTAATGGTGGTAGCAGGCCCTGCGTGTTAAAGTGGCCATGTATCTCGCGTTGCTGGGCGCTCAGCGTCTGCTCTATGTACGCAGACTGAGCCGATGGTTGGTAGGCGGGGGGTGGCTGAAACAAGGATGCTGCTTGTCTTGCCACCACCTTGGATTGCGTTTCTTTCGGGCACGTGGGGCAGGCCGACGATACTGGCACCTGGAACCAGAGATCCGTTGGAAAATTTGAGAGTCTGACGCCTTGCCTACCGCCAGGGGCAAGTAATTTCTTCAGGGAAGCAATTTAGCCGCGTGTTTGTTTAGTGGCCTAAAGTGCAGTGGAGCGGGTCACTGTTTTAAAGGGCTTTGTAGCTGGGTTTCACTGAAAATGAGTAGAATTCAGATCCTCAGATACGCACCCAATCTTCCGATTCTGTAGATAATCTCTTGTCAGCTGCTGTGATGGGCTTGCTCCATTGTATCGTAGCACACGATACGGCCATCAGGATAAGCGCGAAACATGTCGCTGGCGCCGCCATTGCTGGCCGCTCCTACCTGAAACACAAACAGGAAGCATAAGAAGTCATCATTGGACGCGAGTGTCTCGCCCCGTTCGCACGCCCGCGGTGCAAGATTCTTTTTAATCAGTTGGCATTCCAGAATGTCCTTGGTTCAATTCGTGCTACATATTCCGCTCATCTGTTCTGTCCTTGTTTAACCACCTTAACAGCATTACAGGGGACAGAATGAAGCTGCTTGTTGTTTATCCTCTTCTGCGTTCACTTAGGCTCAGGCATGTTCTTGAAGTTCCTGACAGAGTGGGATTTGGAATTCTTTGTGCGCTCCGCATTTTAGTCAACTTTAGGTTTTAAGGAAGCTTTTGGCTGAGTGACGACGGAGCACAAAATGGAACGGCGCTCACGAATTACACAAATAAGCTGCGTTTGCTATTTTGTGAGCACGACGATGAACCTTCGGCATTTCTGAAATACTGTGGATTTCATGACCAGCTGAACAACTGCAAGGTTCTGAAAGGAGCCCGCGCAGTTAAGGTCAATCTCGGAAGTCAGAAGTCGGCACGACAAAATGGCGCTGTCCGTGTTCTTCTTGAGTCTGCGAATGTGAAAGCTTTCGTGCAGACCGAAGCCATTTGTTTGCCTTTCGACGGAACAGACTCGACAATGAAACGGACTTCGTGTTTCAATTGTCCGCGTCGATTCCAGAGACAATAGGCGTGGCACTTGTGTGTAATTATTGTAAGAACACGAAACGCGTTCTTATTTCCGTTCGAGATGTCAGCGCCGTTGTAATTCCTACTAGTCTGTGGGCTGTCGCTCTCCAAAATTCCAACGCCGTTCTTATTTTCCTCAGACCAGTGAAATATCTGCGGTGATGGAATGGGCGGGGAATGTAGCACGCATGGGGATGGTGACAAATGCGCGCGGAGGACGTGGCCATACACGGTACGATATCGAAATGAATTGTTTTCGGAAATAGTCATGGATTGGATTCATCTGGCTCGGACTGGGGACGGACTCTTGTGAACACGGCAATGAGTTTCCCTACCAGCTGAGTGACTGTCAGTTTCACAGGAAGGGCTCTGCGAGAAACACCGATCTCCTTTGCCCCAGCAATTTCTTTGTACGCGGTTGAATCTGTGTTCGTGTTCCGCACGGGCCGACTTAAGCCACTTTTCCCCGCGTCGTTGTCATGGCGACCGGACTATTTTAAGAGCGTGGCAAATTGTATTACGTCGAAAAACACAACTGGACTTTTTTTTGGCACTGACACGAAATTGGCCTTTCGCCTGGGTGAGTTCATAATCGCGCGTTCTTCCGTCGCTCCGCTGATGCAGTTTGCAGGCGAGACCCTCGGAAGCTGTTCCCAGTTCATGTCCTGTTTGTTCGTGCTACTGGACCGAATCCCTTTCATTTGGTTTGAAGTTTTCTGACGTTTCGGAGGTGCTTGATACGTCCTCCAACACGGCGATTAGGATCTCTGATGATGGAAGCAGCAAGGGCCTCTGAAACGTAGGCAAACTTCTGCCGTTGTCTGGTGGAGTTTTTTTTTTTTCAGTTGCGAACAGAACGCAGTAACTCTTTGATAGAAAGTTAGAGAAAAATTGTTCATCGAAAGAGACGCCGTGTGAACGAGGTATATTTATTTAAGGGGGGAAGACTGCCCCCGGCGTCCTGTTCTAGTGCCTTCTTTGCAGTAGGTCATGGAAACAGCTGGTGAGGACATTCCACCGACTCTAGCGCTCTGGTGGGTAACAGGAGAAACCAGCGTCGGCCGCGGGAGAAAGTGCACCGGAGTAGAAAAACTGGTCCACTTCCAGAACTGGTTTGCAGCGCGACCTTCCGAATAGGATGCTCGGACATTTCAGCGGAAGCGATGGTTAAGGCCGTAGAATTTCGGGAAAGCAACGGCGTCCTCAACGAACCCGCCTTCTGTCCGCGTGTCGACTGGTTTAAGTGCCGAGAGGCGGTGGCGCACCCACGAACCACGCGCGAACGAACGAAGTTTCGTGTCGACGTCGCTGTCCTGGAATTTTATCTCCGTCTGGCTTCACGCTCTGACTCTCTATGCCTCGGCGATGTGCCCTCGGTAACTACTGGTCGGCCAGCAGATTCGTCTTTGTTGTGGGAACGTCGAAAACGATAAAAAACTCCCGTCCCTGGAATCGAACCGGATCTCCGCGCTCCGTAAGCCCCCCGTTTCGTTAGTTGCCACGCAGTTCAGATGGGTTTGGACGTAGCGGTCGTATCTCCACGAGCCTCGTTCTCCTCTCGTTGATGCGCCGACATTCAACTGTCATTTTGATACATTTTCCTGTATCCAGGTTCCGGGTTTGCACTCCGCGGCATCGCGAAAGCCATTTCCGGGTTATCTTTTTATTTATTGCGATTTCTCGTATTTGACATCTGCGCAGCTGCTGAGCAATTATGTCGCTAATTGTTGCCAGAGAAGAACGGAATTATCCAGAGCGCGCCAGTCGCTGACCGAGTAATCCTTTAAAGCGCAGTGGTAAGCATGTGTACCACCAAGTCTGACGTTCAGTGACCCCGGAGTTTTTCCTCTACACTGTAATAAACAGCTGCTGTTTCTATGTATTGTTGTGGCCAACTTTCTACTTGTAGTTGTCGGAGTGTGCGAGCTTCGTGTCTAGTCACAGAATTAAAAGAAATGAAGTGGCTCTCCCGTTACGTACCCGGAAAGTCCCTGATTTTTGTAGCCTTGATATAGGAAGATTCCGGCACGAGTCATGACCGTAAATATTCAGCGGACGCTTCGGAGGCTCTGATTCTGCCTCAACGGAAAAAGTCCTTAAATTTGCTTTAAAGTCGTGATTAGTTTTCGTGGAATTTTCTGCGACGTCGAAGGTTTCATTTGCCCACTGATTTGCCGATTAATAGCGTTGATCGTTGTCATTTCCAGCTGCATAACGAAAATAGTTTTTTGAAGGAGCCTTGCATAATGCTCCCGTCCTTCGGGCGCTAATTGTTACGGAAATCTGCGCATTTCAATTGCGCTTCGATGGTTGCGATAACTGGACCTTCAGCAGTGTGAGCGTACAGCACGGCACGACACGGCATTCTCCACGGTGCCCTGCTTTTCGGAATCCATTCTGATTGCACTGCGTTAACACGGATCCCGTTGACGTCAGATTTCTTTTGTTTCCTCCATTCTGTCGAGTTAACTGTCAGCTTTCTAGTGTCGTGCTTTATGGCGGTTTGAGGCACAGCACTAGAATTTCTCCGCAGCCTTCAATTGTCCGTGTTCTCACAAATAAAGACGTAAATACTAGTCATAGCTGTGGAAAATTCAGTTCAAACACGGCAGGATTAATTTGAAGTTAAAAAACATTTCAGTTTCCAAACGATTACGAGATACATTTTTACTTCCTAATAACGATAATATCAACATGGCCGTCATGCGAACTTAGGATTCGGAAGTAACACGTGTGTTTTAATGTAGGTGTTCACGAATCTGTGCCTCCCGGATGCTGTGCCAAGACAGCACCACATCTCCTCCTACTTGGCTACCGACGTGTTGAACGGCTCGCTTACTCAACGCTGATTGTGCCAGATACCACCTCAAGGATGACCTCTAAAATATCCCACCGCACCACTCGAATTTCCCTCTCAGTTTGAAGGCCAGCTAATCACCGGAACTTTCGAGTGTCATTAAGGTTTTCTAAAAATCAAAAATTCCTGAACTTGAAATAAAAAAATAGGTTCGTGGTATTTGCCCGAATTTAGAGCGTCTTTGAATATAACACGGATCTCGAGTTGTGATAGGTTACGGTGTGGAATAGATTGAATTTAACTTTTAAAAATTCCGAATTGTACATAAAATAAGCTGATTTATAATAAAATGCTGTTTTTGGCTGTAGCATTTTAGTAAATGTTGGCTAATATCTACACCTAGGTCTAGAACTGGATCCACCGATTATGGCCGCTGACCTTGTGGGTAGAGCCCAGAATGCGGACCGCTCAATGAAGGAAGGAATTTCCGTCGGTCAGTGCAGTTTGTGTCAGAGCAGAAGTGTGGAAGTCTGATAACTGTTGTCTTGTGACTGCTGTGTTAACAACATGCCACCTGTTCCTTGAAATCTCCTTCCTGGTCATTGATAACGCCTCGTACCACAACACTCAGACAGACAGACAAACCACCGACGTCTTAATCAAAGAAGGACGAAATGAAAGCCTGGCTATTGGAAAGAAACATTCCATTTTGTGACAACGCGATGAAAGCTCAACTTTATGATTTAATCAAATTAAATAAATCAAAGCACAAATATCATGTGATTGATCAGATTTTAGCAGACAAAGAACTGAGACTTCCGCCATACGATCTCGATTTAAACCCCACTGAACTTATTTGGGTAGATTTAAAACAAAGGGTTGCAAGCAAGAACACGACATTTAAAATTAAGGACGTCGAGCATCTTTGTCGCCAGAGATTCGAAGAAATTGGGCAAGAGGAATGGGAGAATGTTTGTCGTCACGTGGAGAAACTAGAACAAATTTGTTATGAGCGAGAAGGCGTAATCGAAGACGCCATTGAACGAATTATAATTGAAGATAACGGAGTGGACAGGAGCAGCGGTAGTGATGAATCGAGTGATATGTCAGAAAGCGATGTTCTGTGAGGATTGGAAGAATTGGAAGAGGGCCGGAGAGTATTTAAGAAGATAGAATTACCTAACACTCTCTGCAGTGTTAATGTTTTAGCGATGTGTAGTGAAATGAATTCGAATTTTCTGTGTTACATACCGTCGTGATATTTTATGTGGAGTGTACTCCTGCCGTCACTTCCAGCAAACGTCTGGAAAGTGACTCGCTCCGAGGTTCCAATTCCCAAATTTCAGCGGCAAAAAAACCTGGAACGCAAATACCAATCGGTTCTTCCCTTCGGACTACCGGACGTCGCCTCTGGGCAACCGCTTTTGGCCTTGGCCACGCCCGAGCCAATCCCTGCTACTCAACAGCCAGGACTCGCGCTCTTTGCCTTCTTTTGTTCGTGTGTTTCTATGGCAACCCAGGAGCGTGTCGTTGAAAGACGCCACAAACACTGAGCCCTAGGTTAGGTTTTCTCGCAGACAAAAAAGGTTTAAACCAGCGAGCAATTCGAGGAAAACGTTCCTTCAAAAATTGGGGACGAAGACAGATTCCTCGTGTAAAATGTTTCCGGTAATCACTGCGGGCGTCAAAGCGATTTCTGTTCAAGGATGCAAGATAGAAGTTCCGCGAGACGAGGAGATGCGGAAGGGATCGGAAAGGAATTTGGATGAAAGAGATCGTTCTTCCGTGAACTCGCGTTCGGCGCTGAAATGGTGGGGCATGAAAATGACTGGCAGGACGAGATCCGAACCACTGATGCTGGGGTGTGGGGTAGTAGGCGCTGGGTGATTCGCCGGTTTGACCTACAAGGAGCCCGTGAAAGTCCCACACCACAGCCACTTTCTCTGTCCCGTCCGGTTTCCACAATCCCAGATGCAGCGAGCGAGTGAGTGGTTTGACGCGGGCCGCGATTACATGGAGAGACGCGTAGAAACGGCGTCTCGTCTGTTCTTCTGGCTATTTCGTAGACAATAAAGCGAATATTTCTGAAGGGCAGTGTTTTGCCCACCGAATGACAACTGAAGACGGGGGACGCGTGTTATTATCAGCGACCAAATTTTTTCCTTCCCGGGTATAAAATGAATCAAAACATATGACATCCGTTTCCTACGATGAAGTTAATGAAGTGGCCACAAGGAGCGTGTTTGTGGGGTGACTTTGTGATGTTGGGAAGGAAACGTGGCTGTCCGAGCGATTTCCTTATAGCCCCTTCCCCCTCCGCCCGCACTCAGTGCGTGACGTAATACGCCTGCCGGGACTTGAACCCGCGGCACGGCCTTGCATGCCGGTCCAGTCTGGAGGTGAGCAGCTCTCTCACTTCCGGGCCACAGGTTGCAAAATGTCGGCGACAGGAACGCAAGGCTTACGCGGTCGCTGCTGACCGCTTCCAAGCCGTCCTTTTGTTATCACGGTAATGAATCTTACGGTTTCAGAAAAGGCGAGGAGTTTCTCGACCAGCTGAGCAACTGTAAATGTTCTCTGACAATCGATGGTTCCGCGCCCACCAGTTTCCGTAACAGACTGACAGACTCTAAACGTGTGGAAAGTTCTAGAAACGTCGGTAACCGCTGGTCTCAGAACTCAAAAAGTTTTACCGCCGTGATAACCTAACATCTGAAGAAGAGGCATGGGTGAATTTCGTACCAGAAAGTGTTTTATACGAGGGTACAGGGTCTTTTGAGATCTGTGCCGACGTTTCGGAA